TTACATCCGTTTTGGTTAGCTGCCGCTGCCCAAGCACCACATATAGTGAACTAGAGGGCGGAATTTACAACAATACCCTTTTAGTCTATCAATAGTCTAGTGGGTTCCAAATTTACACGCCTTCCCACTTAGCCAAGATAGGTTGAGAACTAGCAAACGATAATGTACACCAGAGTCTGCTTAGTCTCCCAGTCTCTCCGACCTAGCGAACGAAATGTACACCCTAGATACGCTAGTCTAGACAAGACACCGGTGTCCGGCTTGGGCTATATACATTCAACCAAGACCCAGCCTGACTCCATACCAAGATTAGACGGGCTGACTACAGGGCGTCTAATTATGAGTGTTGCGCCTTCGCTCCTTCCCTCCCTGGAGGGGGCCAATTCCATACACAATTCCAATTCAAACCCCTTATGGGCCTACCGCACAATCGGTATACAATACCCCTAGTGGATCCATCGTCTAAAACAGTAGTCGTCTTACCTCCTCGTTCCTGAACCTGAGTTCACACTCATCGACGGGGACACCCCAGTACTTACTACGTAGAGGCCGATGATCTCCTGGACAACAGACCAGTGGCGCCGAGACGAAGGGAGGTCCACGCAGAAGTTCAGGGGTGCAGCCGTAGAGAACGTGGGCAAAGATAGACCGTCTCACGCCTCTGCTTCCTAGCCACCGTTAACGACGAGCTTCCCGGCCAACGCACCAAAGATGTTACCGGGAAACTGACGGAGGCCAAGCACAGAGAGATGGACACAGGTTTCTTCAGGAAGGAAGAGATCTTTATTTGATTCACCGACTGGGACTCAGAGGGACTTATGTCACCAAAAACAGCCAAGATCTGAGTACTGAATACATAAAGTACATTCCTTATATAGCACTGTAGCTCCTCCCATAATTAGCTACGCCCACACATACCCTTAACCTAATCAATGAATAGAGTCTAAACTCATCCATCCGGTCTAACCACGTGGCTCATCTGAATCAAAGGAGAGGGACGCGTAATTCCAGTTCCTACATTCCTGCACATGCTCAGTACAGTGATGACAGTATCTTAGCTACGTGTAACTAACTAACTGATGCTACAAACACATGTACCTACATATGCCTTGTGGCAATCTTGGCCTGCTAAACTTGTATTTTACTGGAATTCCATCACATTCCCCCCTTTGATGCTTCTGATTTAAAATAATTCCAGATGCATCACCAATCATAGTTTGCTTACACCTCAAGTTGCCATAAACCAGACTAGACTTTGCGATTCTCTAAAGATACGAACCCCTCAACATTCCTCTTCCTGCATGTATTCTCCTTTATCTAAAGCTTCATACCTGCAAACAGCCATTACCTGTGCTGCGGCCTTTCTTTCTGCTATACTTTCTATAATGCTCTGCATAGAGCTAATTACCAAAGGAATCAGACATGGCAGAAGGAGACACAACATCAAAATCAGTATGACTCCACCTACCAATGCCTTGATTCCTGCAAACTGCTCATACCAACTACCAAACCAACTACTCGGATTATACCCTTAGCTACGTGTAACTAACTAACTGATACTACAAACAAATGTACCTACATATGCCTTGTGGCAATCTTGGCCTGCTAAACTTGTATTTTACTGGAATTCCATCACAACACCCATCACTCACACCCATCACTCACACATGGCACTCTCACACACATCACACACACACCGCACTCTCACACACACACCGCACCCCTCACACACACACATACTGCACCCCTCACATACACACAGAACCCTCCCAACACACTGCACCACACACATACACAATACTTCTAAATATATATATATATATATATATATATATATATATATATATACACACACACACACTACACTCTTAAAGGACCACTCTAGCCACCCAGACCACTTCAGCTTAATGAAGTGGTCTTGGTGCCAGGTCCTTCTAGGGTTAACCCATTGTTTTATAAACATAGCAGTTTCAGAGAAACTGCTATGGTTATCAATGGGTTAAGCCTTCCCCCAAAGCCTCTAGCAGCTGTCTCATTGACAGTCGCTAGAGGCGCTTGCGTGCTTTTCACTGTGAAAATCACAGTGAGAGCACGCAAGCGTCCATAGGAAAGCATTATAAATGCTTTCCTATGCGACCGGCTGAATGCGCGCGCACGCGTGCGCATTCAGCCGACGGGGCGGATCGGAGGAGGAGAGCTCCCCGCCCGGCGCTGGAAAAAGGTAAGTTTTAACCCCTTTCCAGAGCTGGGCGGGAGGGGGTCCCTGAGGGTGGGGGCACCCTCAGGGCACTATAGTGCCAGGAAAACTAGTATGTTTTCCTGGCACTATAGTGGTCCTTTAACATACACACTCTGGATCCCCTATACACACACTAGATTCCTTGTAAGCAAACACATACTACACCCCTAAACACACACACACTATAGCCTGTATGCACACACTTGCTATATCCCCAATACACACATTCTCTACAGCCCATAGCCACATATGCATCACATTACACCACAAACACAACACGACTAAAACCGACCTTATTACACAATACCACACCATGACCAGCTCACTCTACACACACGCAATACCACAAGCAGGCTCCAAACACATGCACAATACTCTTTCCTGGCCTTTTGTCTCCTGGTATCCATTTATAGAGACACCAGAGACAAGTTGCAAGGAAACACAGTGCAAGCATGTTATTAAATTTGCTTGCACTGTGCAGAACAAATACAGGACTTTTTTCTCATGCTAGAGCTCTTCAGCAGAGCTCTGCGCATGGTCTGCCCTGGAAGAGCATTAAACCAACATGCTCACTTTGAGAGGAGGCGTGTTTGTCATTGGTGATGACAAAACACACCTCCTCTGCCCCGCCCCCTTTTTAGTGGGCCGCTGTGTTAAAAAAATGCCCAGGCCGAATTTTTCTCCCAGTCCGGCCCTGGGTAGACCTGTAAATAAAGTGGGCAAAAGATGTATGCCAAAAATAATATATTCAATCAACAACTTATTACTACATAATATCATAATGCTAAGTGTTGAAATGCCTGTCTAATTTCTTTCTCAGGTTGTGGAATGTACCTACAGTATGCTGTAGATTTCCAGTGCCCCAATGACTTAATAATATGGGTAGGGATGTTCCTGTAGGAGGCTGCTGAGGCTGTCCCAATCGTAAATGAATGTCCAGAGTAGTGTGAGGGGTTGAGGCCTAGTCTCATTGTGGCGAAACCAACCTCGCCACTGTGAACTGGCTTGGTTGCTCGCCTGCTCCCTTTGGACTATGGCCCTGCAGGTTAAACCGTTTATTTCCCCTGCAGAAAGGCTTATTTGTGTGATCTGAGTGCCATTCATCTAATAATGTGCGCTCAGATCCCAGCTATCTGGGGATATGTGAAATGTCTGTGTGTTATGGGTAAAAGGTGACTTTATGTATTTTAAAGTGTTTTGTGTCTTTTTGCAACCATGTGCTTAATGGAGTCTTGTGTCTGTTCTGGGAGATA